AATGGTATTTGGTACAAGATTATACATCTTCACCGCTTTCAGGTTTTTTTTCCACCAAGTTTGGCAATTCCGACTGAATTTAATCCTAAAAGCATAGCCATAGCTCATTCGATTTGGCGTTAAAGTCCCTCACATGCATAATATGCACTCCACAACAATGATCTTCGGCACCAGCCATCAAATACAGCCCAGAAAAGACTCTGTCAATATTATCAAGATCGGTTCAGATTTGGATATAGGTTCCATATAAACTTCAACCGATTTCGGGTTAATTGTGCACCAAATGAACAATATCAGTTCAAATTTGGCATATCCAACTGAATTTAGTCTAGAAGCAAGTACCTTAAATTTGGTGAAAATCGGTTCAAATATAGCTATAACTCCCCATATATATGTTTCATTTGATTTGGTGTTTAAGTCCTTCAATTTCGTAATATGCATTTGACAACAATGATGGTACCAATATCTTATAAAGCTTTTAAATACCGTTGCCAAATTTTATCGAGAACGGCTAAGATTTGATATAGCTCCCAAATATATTCTAATCCGATTTCAGGTTCAGCCCAATGGAGTGAATTTCGGGACGTAAGTTTCCATATTGTGCATCTTGGCTCCGATATATTTTTATACCCTACACCACATAGTGGTAGGGTATTAGTCTTTGTGCATTTGTTTGTAACATGGAGAAGGAAATGAGATAGACCCATAGTTACTTTTGAGAACCTTCATAGAATCACTTTCTGAGTCGATTTATGCATGTCAGTCCGTCTGTCCGTCCGTCCATGTATTCTTGTGAACAAAATGCAGGTCGCATTTATTATCCGATGAGATGAAATTTTTCCAAACGATATTTTTTTGGCCCAAGAAACCCTATTGAAATTGGTGAGAATCGGATCAAATTTAGATATAGCTCCCATATATATCTTCATCCGATTTCGGGTTAAATGAGCACCAATGTCCACTATCAGTCCATTACCTGAATTTTGGCACACCCAACCGAATTCGGCCTAGAAGCAAGCATATCAAATTGGTTCAGATATAGCTATAGCCCATATATATCTTTCATCCGATTTGACCTTTAGGTCCCTTAATCCTACTATGCACTCCACAACCGTGATAATTGGTACCAGATATAGATGGAGCACAGAAATAGGTGTTTTTAAATTTTATCGAAATCGGTTCAGATTTGGATATAGCTCCCATATATATCTTCATCCGATTTCGGGTTAATTGACCACCAATGGACAATATCAGCCCAAATGGCCCGAATTTGGCACATGTGACCGAGATTAGCCTTAAAGCAAATACAACAAATTTGGAGAAAATCGGTTCAGAAACAGCTATAGCTCCCATATATATGTTTTATCCGATTTGGTTTTAAGCCTCTCACATTCGTAATATGCACTCCACAAGAATGATATTGGTACCAGATATAAGATACAGCCCAGAAATAGCTGTTTGTAATTTTATCGAAATCGGTTCAGATTTGGATATAGCTCCCATATATATCTTCATCCGATTTCGGGTTAATTGTGCACCAAATGGCCGATAAAGGTCCAAATGGACTGATTTTTAGTACATCGGACCAAATTTAGCCTAGAAGCAAGTAATCTAATTTAGTGAAAATCGGTTCAGATATGATATAGCAACCAAATGTATGTTTCATCCGATTTAGTGTTTTAGGTCCCATACATTCGTATATTCACTCCACAACCGTGATATTTGGTACCAGGTATTAGATGGCACAGGAATAGCTGTTTTAAATTTTATCGAAATCGGTTCAGATTTGGATATAGCTCCCATAATATCTTCATCCGATTTCGGGTTAAATGTGCACTAAATGGTCAATATCAGCCCAAATCACCTGAATTTTCGTACATAAGACCGCATTCAGTCTAGAAGCTAATACGTAAAATTTGGAGAAACCCGGTTCAGAGATAGCTATAGTTCGTAAAATGCACGATAGAATTAGATAGATTTTGATTTTGTACCAAATTCTCATAGAGCTCTGAAATGCCCTGTATAAACCTTTTTACGAGAGCTTTCCTTACTGGTTTAATACAATCCTTCGCCAAGTGATATCATGCACTCTATAGCAAACTATAACTTGAAATAAATTCTCCACTAAATATCATAGTGGAGTAGGGTATCATATATTCGGCCCCGCCCGACTTTTGACTTTTCCATACTGGTTTCAATTTAAGTATTCATGCACTCTATGACAATATTATTTGTACGAAAAACATAATGTCTGCGTTATACTTAAAAAGAGATTCATAATTCGTATATTCTACTTTACATAAATCCCCAAAATAAAGTTTTTTTTACGGGTAGCTCTGATAACCTATCTTAAATATTGTGCTTTTGAGAGAAATGGTCAAAAACATTAAGTTCGGCTGAACGGAAATTAGAAAATATTTCTGTATAAAAGTATATGGATTCCAATGTGTTCCACTCTAAACTGCTAATACCATTGAGATTGGTTGGAGAATGCAGTTAAAGTTTTCAAATAACATAAAGTGGGTGGAGTCGATATATTGGGGCAATACCGACAAAATTGAAACAATTCCGTGGACAAATGTGACTAGGATAATCAAAATACCGAATATTGGTAAGTACCGTTATATGGAAACCGTGGATAAATATCGACACTGTTCTGACATCGGTTGTTTAACCCATTGTAAACTAAAAACACGAAAAAATCCGTCAAAATGCGGCTTAAATCGGCAAAATACTGAATATCCGAAGGTACGACCTCAGGTACGAACCCATTACACAAGCTAGAACTCATTACGAACTACAAACGCCCAATTTTTAACGCCAGTGGAAAAATATGGCCAAAACCATGAAAATACCAAATATTGGAGGGTACCGTTATATGAGGACTATATTAAAACATGGACCGATAGATCTTTTTTCAATATCAGCCGTAATAGACACAATACACCTACTAACGCTCTACGTCAAATAATGTGGAATGTGTATCGCGATTTTAGCAGACGGGCATTGCTAAATCGACTCACGCTGATCATGAACATATATACTTTATGGGGTCTGCTACAAATATTCAGAGTGTTAAAAACGGAATGACAAATGTGATATATCCTCCTTTCCATGGTGGAGGGTATAAAAGAACATTCGAAAGTCATTTCAAATGCACACTCAACCTATTCCTATTTGAACTTCATTCTGTAGGGTACCTATTTTGTTGACAAAACTCGTAAACAGAAAACTACGTCACATTTGAAAACAATTTCTGTTGGTTGCATTGAGTGTGTGTGTGCTCTCCCTCTCTCGTAGGTTGCACCTAATGTATGAGTGAGTGTGTTTTTCTCTCTCTCTCTGTCTATTCATTCAGTCATCAGTATATATTAACATTGTTGTTAAATGTGAAATACTAAATGAAACATAAACTGTGACTAAATGAAGAAGAAAACTTTGGAGAGAGTTGGCGAGAGAGACGAGAGAGAACACTGAGTGAGTGATATAGAATGTGTGGAAACTTTTATTGGCGAAAAGCTTTCAATTTTGTGTTAGCGTTATGGTGATGGTGGGCGCCTTACATCCATCCAACAGCTAGCCAGCACTGAACTGTGGGCAAAGTGAAAATACAACGGAGGTGCAGAGCAGAGCGGAACAGAGCAACGTTGGCAGAGAACTGAGCTGCAGCGAAACAAATCAAATCAAATGAAACGAAATCAACCCTATGTTGTACACAGCGGCCAAGTAAATCAGTTAGTCGCAAAAAGAACGCCACGCGAATTTTATCAAAACAATCATAAGCTGACACACCGAGCGAGAGAACTAGGCGAAATCGAGCAAACTGAAATCGAATAGAAAAAACACACCATTAAACCATTTAAATAAATTTAATTTATTTCCCTTTAATTTGCCAATAAATTTTTGTTGTTGTTATTTTTAACGAAACAAAAGCAAAATCCAAGTTAAACGAGAATTTCAGTTCGAAATAATTTGCCAAATTTCCAAAGATTTTGTTCGCTTTAAAGCCCCGACAACATAGTGATATCAAAAATCAAAGAATAAATCTAAGAAAAAAAAAAGAAAACTGAATTTTGATAAGAAAAATTTTCTACATTTTCTATAAGAAAACAAAAACAAAACCAAACAACAAACGACATAAAGTGCATTAAACAATAAATCCTCAACAAATTAAATTAGCAGTAAAACTTGCAATTCCGCCGCAATACAACGAAACAAAAAAAAAAAAAAAAAATAAACAGATAAATTGCGCGTTTTTCCTCCGCTCCAAATCAATTGCCAGAAATTGCAATCGACTTGTAGTTGCATCAACAATTGCCATTACCAAGGACACCAAGCAATCTATAGCCTAGCAGCCCCCAGCCAAGCCAAGCCAGGCAAACATTCAAAACCTACCACAAGGATAAAAGCGACGAGGTCCTGACAACGCAGCCATAAATCAAAACTTTATCCTCCAAAAAAAAAAAAAAACCAGTGAAACAGGAAACTTCTTCTCGAGTCATTAGCAACAACTAATAACACAACCTCAAAACTACTCTCAGAAGCCAGCAGAAGAAAAACACAACTTTTAGCAAAATGTCATGGAGATATGCGGTAGGTTGTTGTTATAAACTACATAAGCCTTTTTTTTTTCATTTCTTTTTCTTGTCAAAGTACATATGTACATAAAGAAATATGTACATGAAGGTGTAATAACACATACATATGCAGTTTCAGAGCATATATGTGTGTGCAACAAAGTGTATTTATTCTTAAGAACTTAGATTATAGTTACCAACAAATAACCTAACCCAAGCAACCATCATCACAATCCGCCATCACCACCTTCACCTACATCCCTCCCCCTGATGTACACACGTTTGGTGGCGGGTTGCCTACAGCATCTTGAGAAGAGATTTTGCAATCACAGCCTCCCAGATGTAGACTCACACACAAACACACCACCACACTTTCACACGCATTTCTAGGTTTAACGACGCAATATTGCTTTACTCCCCCACGGCGCACACCACACACACTCACACACATTCACATTTTTTTAGATAAATGATCCTGGAGAAGAATTGTTGTTTGCATTTAAGTATGCTGTAATTCTATAAATAAAGTGTTCTTTCGCAAGTATATATGTAAAGTAAATTTGGTATATAGGCCCATAAATTGCCTCAGCATATAAAGTGGTCATGATAAGCTGAAAAAAAGAACAAAAACAATTAACAATGGCTATAGGTTCGGCCTTCGTCCTAAGACATTTTTACAATAAAAAGTCTGCTATAAAGGACAACTAACGAATGGACCACCACTAGAGAAGTTAAAGTAAAACAATTAACAAAAAAAAAAAAAAATACATTAAGTTCCGCCGCCCTCCACCATTGGATAAAGGAAACATTTTTATATAAAAGTATCTGGATTCAAAAGCGTTCCACTTTAAATTACAAATAACAGTAAGACCGTTTGGAAAATGCTGTTAAACTTTTCAAAAAACCATAAAGTGGGTGAGAGGGTTGATGGAAGCCATATCAAAGGGGATCCCACATTGACAATTTTATACTTCAAGTATTATCATATACCAAATCTTCTAAAATATGAAATGTTAAACAATTTCGTGGGTAAATGTGACTAGGATTATCAAAATACCAAACACCGGTGGGTAGTTTATATGTGCAAAACGTGGAACTAAATATGCAATGTTTTGCCACCGGGCTAGAACCCATTATGAACTGCAAATACCAATTTTATCAAAATATCGAATATCGGGAGGTACCGTTATTTGGGGACCATACCAAAACGTGGACCTATACATACAATGTTTCGCCATTGAAGCTAGAACCCATTTTGACCAACAAATACCAATTTTTAGAAGAATCCGTGGAAAAATGTGGCAAAAATCACCAAAACACCGAATATCGGGAGGTATCGTTATATGGGGCTATGCAACAACGTGGATACCTTCAATCTTTCGCCACACGAGCTAGAACCCATTATTCCCTACAAATACCAATTTTTAGACAAGCCCTTGAAAAAATGTGACAAACATTTTCAAAATACCGAATATCGAGGGGTATCGTTATATGAGTGCTATAGGAAAACATGAACCTAAATATGCAATGTTCCGCCACAGGAGCTAGAAGCCATTAAGCACTGCAAATACCAATTTTAAGACAAATCCGCGAAAAAATGTGACAAAATCTTCAAAATACCGAATATTGGGAGGTTCCATGGGGGCTATACCAAAACGTGAACCTATACATACAATGTTCACCACCGGAGCTAGAACCCATTGCTAACTCGAAACACCAATCCGTGAGAAATGTGGGTAAAATAATGAAAATACCGCATATCGGGAGATACCGTTATATGGCGTCTATATCAAAACGTGGACCAATATATCTCATTTCAGTATCAACTATCCTAGACACATACAACGTATTGTGGCAATTTTGAAGCTATACATCAAATATTGTGGGCTGTATCGTGATTTCAACAGACAGGGAGACCGACGGATGGACAGACATAAAGACGGACATCATTAAATCGAGTTAGAATTTATGCTGATCATAATTATATACTTTAGGGGGCCTACAACGAATATTTAGGGATGTTACAAACGGAATTACAAAGTTAATATACCCTGTGCAGCAATCCATCCAATATATTGGAGCTATAGCTATATCTGAGCCGATTTTCTCCAAATTCGATGTACTTGCTTCTGGGCTAAATTCTGTCGGATGTGCCGAAATCCATTTCATTTGGAGGTATATTATAGATAAGGCTCACATAAATTGAAATCGGATGAAAATATGTATGGGGGGCTATATCTAAAACTGAACCGATATTCAGCAAAATTCCCAGACAAATATCTGGATAAATTTGACAGCGTGTGCTAAATTCATTTGAGTCGGTCTGATATTACGCATTTGGTGCACAATACTTATGACATCGGAAGGCACTATATATGAAAGTTATATCCAAATCATTCATAAACCGACTCAGAATGTGATTCTACGAAGATCATAATTTCAATTCAAGTTTGGTCCTTAATCTATACTTGTTCACACCTATGCTCCTTGTTCTTTTACAAAGAAGCCAGCTAAAGCCATTCAAAAAAAGCGTTTTATGTAATCTCACCTTCACTGGGGAACCTTTGGTCCATTGCGAGGAAGAAATGAGACATTTCGGGATAGGAGAGACAAAGAAGCGAGAAGAAGAAGAAAAAATGTATAGAGAGAAGTGTAGTTAGCAAAGTGGTTTTCCTTAGCGAGTTGATGGGATCCATGTCATCTCTCATCTGTCAAACGCCCAATGTTCTTGTTGAATAACATGGGACATCTTTCCATAGTCGACAGTAGTCAGGAACTCTGTGTCCGATCTGTCGGCAGTGGCCATTCAATATGCCTACAGCGATTCTAAGATCAGGCCTGCTAATTGATGGGGCTGGTTCTTATTCTCATTCTCCCTTTTGATGTTTAACAGTCTCAGCAATCGGTGTATCAATTGACTGGAATGCCTCGAGCTAAAGAGCAAAGAGCCCGCGTATTTTAAGGAGGGAGCTTTGCAGTCAAGAGTGATTCTCGATTTATGGCACTTGAACTTCATAGCTTTAAAGTCCGCTTGACTATCGACATATATATTTGATGACATTAGCAGCATTATTCCATCGGAACTGCTTTAAATTTCGTATTCGAAGTTCGGATATCCCCATAAACGGGGTTTCATTTGAGTGATTTTCAAGTTCGCTTCAAATGTTGGAGGGTATTAAAAGTTCGAATTAAGCGGCCGTTTTAACTTGTTATACCCTCAGACATTTGGCTACTGAGAGTACGTCACTTTGGACCGAATTCGTTTCAGAACAAGTCGATCTAGGTGGCTTGTGAGCACGATAACTCTCGAACTTATAATTTAAGTTTTACTTTTTTTGGCTTGGCGATCTATGAAAATTCCCAATTTGGGTGTTGCCAAATTATTTTCCTTAAGAACTACATCCTAAAAGTGGCTTTGTATTGGTCCCTTGTATAAGTTAATACTTAAGAACTTCGAGTAGAACACACATCTGTGAATTATGTTTAATCTTCTTCTTGCTGTTAGTTTGAACCATGTTTTTAAGTATATAATTTTGTATGTACGTGTCGTCTGTTTGTATTAGGACACAAAAACTGCATTAAGTGCACATGAACTCAAAAAGAAATGCCATGTATGTACATGCAATTGTTGTTCTTCAATGTTTGTTGTCTGTGTTTGTGTGCGAATATATATAAACCACGACAACACGAAATACATTGAAAATTGTGTGGTGTGTGTGTGTGTGTGTGTGGTGTGTTGACCTTGATTTCCGTGTTCCGATGACCTAATTTTGCCCATGTACATGGACATTCTTTAACCCCCTTAGATATCCATATATATACATATATATGAACTCTTTTCATTGTATTTGTATTGTGGATGATGTAAAGAGAGTGCAGCTGATCCAACTGATGCTGAACTGTATATGAATTTGTATGTGTGTGTTGGCTGTACAATGCATTGTGATTGGCATTATTATGATGTTTTTTTCATTCTCTCATTTATTTTTAATTTCCCTCTATAAAATATTACTATTTGGTTTGGTTTGTTGCAAATAGCAACTTGTTTTCAATTAGTTTCAATAAATGCACAGTGAAATGAAAATATTTAATTGTTAGAGTAGATGACAGGGACTGATGGAAAAATTTTCCATAGAAAATTCGTCCTCAGTCCTCGGAGAGAGAGACTGATGGAATAATTTTCTATAGTAAATGCATCCCCAGTTCTCGGAGAGAGGGGCGGATTAAAGAACTATGTATAGAAAATTCCTCCTCAGTCCGCGGAGAGAGAGAGAGAGACACTGATGGAAAGTTTTTCTACAGAAAGTTCTTTCTCAGTCCTCGGAGAGAGACTGATGGGGAAACATTTTCTATAGATAATTCCTCCTCAAACCTCGGAGAGAGAGACTGAAAAAATTGTCTATAGAAAATTCCTCTTCAGTCCTCGGAGAGGGCCAGATTGAAAAATTTTCTATAGAAAATTCCTTTTCAGTCCTCGGAGAGAGAGGACTGATGGAAACATTTTCTATAGAAAATTCTATCTCAGTCCTCGCAGAGAGAGACTGGTGGAGAAAGTTTCTATAGAAAATTCTTCCTCAGTCCTCGGAGAGAGAGAGTCTGATGGAAAATTTTCTATGGAAAATTCCTCCTCAGTCCTCGGAGAGAGAGAGAGAGAGAGAGAGAGAGAGACTGATGGAAACATTTTATATGGAAGATTCTTCCTAAATCCTCAGAGAGGGAGACTGATGGAAAATTGTCTATGGAAGAGTCTTCCTTAGTCCTCGGAGAGAGAGACTGATGGACAAATTTTCTATACAAAATTCTTCCTCAGTCCTCGGAGAGAGAGAGAAGAAGACCTCAGAGAAGACCTCTCACTTCCAACCTATAGAAGTAGAGAAGACCTCAGAGAGGTCCTCTCACTTCCAACGTATAGAAGTAGAGAAGACCTCAGAGAGGTCCTGTCACTTCCAACGTATAGAAGTAGAGAAGACCTCAGAGAGGTCCTGTCACTTCTATCCTATAGAAGTGAAGAAGACC